GAGTTATTGAGGAAAAACGAAATTTTTTGTCAAAAGTTGGCTGTTTCGACGGTGGAATGGTCGGATTTCGTCAATGCCAATAAAATGCCGATTAATCATAGTTAACTCATTAAATATCGAAGTTAGAAGAAAAATAACTTTTATTTGAAGCATTTTTCGAAATTTTGAGGAAAATTGAAATCATTTGAGATTATAAGTGGTGAAACGTATTATGGAATTATTTACTCACCGATCACATCACATTTATCTGTGTTTCAATTAAGATTCTACATTGTTTATTTATTTATCTCTTAATTTGCAGGGTGATTAATTGAAAAGTGTGATCCTTTTAGAACTGCCTCGAATAAATTATTATTATCGTGCGAATTGAAATACGCAATCCAATATCAAGCGCAATCGAACGCGGCCAGTGAAATCAGGATTGAAAAAGCTGAAGACAAATAAAACGTGAACGCTTAGTCGGAAGTTGCAAACATGTTGTCGGTTATAATAAGCATTGATTGTGAGCGTAACATTATAGAGAGATCCGTTAACTTTGGTAAATGAACCCTTTGATGGTAACTAACATATTGCTAATTGAGCCAATCGCAGGGCTATCAAACTATCGTAGCTGTCTTTGTCCGTTGCGCGTCAACAACGATGCTTCCTGATAACTTGTACCACCCTACTCGCTCGTTCCCGTTCTCGAGGCTCGCCGCAAGCATTGTCGCATGCCAATTGAACGTCAACGATAAGCGAGTATTTAACTAACGAATGTATACTACAACTGTACAAAACAACAATACGGAAACTCTGTTGGAAATGAGTTAATCGATAAAGAATTTCCTCAACTTCCAGAACATGATGTAGGGTGAACAGGGCGTCTCAACTAAAGGAAGACACCTAAATATCACTTCTAACGCATTTTTCCATATCACACGATACAATAGAAAACACGACACATTTTGTACATAAAAAATGTCGATAGACATGAGCAAACAAAAAATTTTTTTATAGGATGTTCTTCGTTCAAACGACTTAAATCATGAAGCTTTTTCAAAGCATAAAAAATAGAAGAGTTAGTTAGGTGGCTTTAACTGAGACACCTTGTATGCTTGTCGAAACTCAGTACTCTTACTCTAGAAAAGTGGAACATCGTTTGCCTTATTCTTTTTCTATATTATCAAATTATTAAATGAAGAGTTAGACTCTATCACAGTTTAACGTTTGATACTTTTCCCCATCGGATCGATTTTAATACAGTTTGCGTCACGTATCTTTTGCGTAACCGGCCATGCAAATTCGAATTAACGTCGTGAACCGCATGGAAATTAGACCGCGGGACTAATGGAATTTCGCCTTCCAGGAAAACGGATTCTACACGATTCACCGTAAATCCCGGCGAAGATTAGGACATCGATTTTAATGTAATTTATTTGGGAATCGCTGCTGTCGTCGATTGGAGCTATATTGTTGTTAGTGCATAAAATTTTTCTCGATTATTTTTAAACCAGTAATTCTACAATCGAATAAAGTGAGCTGTTATTTTTCAATTCGCATCATGTTGATTCCATCGAATGCAAAGATAAATGCACACATCGACACCAGTATTGTTTCAAGCGAAAACTCGTTGTACGCTATAAATAAGCGGATAAAATGTTGGCTGATGGCGGTATTAAATGTTTAATGTATTATACAGGTATAAATGTTTATTGACGAAAGAAGTTAATATCTCCGTACAAACGAAAATATAAGCAAAATAAAAAAATAAAATCGTCTCGATATTAATTTGATAATAAACAAAGTAACTAATTATTGCTAACGTTTATTGAAAATTTAATATTAAATTCAGAATA